CAACTCAGGCAGGCCGCCATGCTCTTGGTGTCTGTGCTGGTGGAGCTGAGGCCCAGCGGGGCACCTCGTTTGACGGGGCTCTCCCTTGGGCGGTAGGATGGGACCGCCCAGCACTCCTGAGCAGATGGGCCCTGTGGCGGGAGGGCGCGGCCCAGCCAGCTCAGCCTAAGCACAGGCACGTCGTTTCTCTGGCCAGTCCCCTTCCTTACTTCTTTTGACTTTGTCCTGTCTCCCTGCATCCTTCTCCTTTGTCCGCTTTTTATCTGTCCCACATCCTTCTTCACAGATGGCCAGGACTCTAATGTGCTGCTGTCATTATGTTTATGGAACAACTCGGGGTCTTTAGAGGCTGCCGTTCCAGAGACATTAAAGACGTGGGTCACGTTTGATACCAGGGTAAAGATTTGCAGGATAATTAGTGATCCTCTACTGTTATTAACCCCTGACTTAAGCAGCTTATTTTCTTATAAACGTGTTGGAAGTTAATGCTGCTGCTAATAGTTTCAGTTGGGAGACCATAATGAAGCAGGTGGGAGAGCAGACCTACCATCAATACCTTTCAGACTCTGAAATGAGAGTTGGGGGAAAGGAAAGGAAAAAAGAATTGAAGAGAAGGGGGTAATTTGACCGTAATTACCTCCCTTTGGTTACCTACCTTCGGTAACCTTAATGGTAGCCCCTTATGGAGAAGATCCGTTTGTTCTTAGTTTGGGACAGTTGGCTTTATCACTACGACATTTCTCAATTTCTGAGCTTAATTGACATCACACACAGGAACTCAGTGGTGGCTGAGATCGCGGAGGGAGGGAGGGTGGCTTTGTACTTCCACGGGTGACACCAGCGGCCTGTGTAGCCTCAGTCCCCCACTGCTCCTGTGCATGTCCTCCGCCCTGCGGCGTAGCCAGACCTCCCCCAGTTCTGCAAATGCGCATCGCCCTGCTGTTCCTCTGTAGGCACCGTTCTCTTCACCTGGAATTGCCGGTCACCATCTCTTCCCATTTTACCCCTCCCCCTGGGTTTGTGCTCAGCGATTGCCTGCCCTCTCCCCCAGCACCACTCTGCCTGCTTAGAGGACTGACTCATGGCCACGTCTTCAGTTCCTTACTAGATCCAAAGCTCCCCGAGAATAAGGACCACGTCACTCAGTTGGCTGACTGTGGCCAACATGGTGTGCTCCAAAAATACTTTTTGTATTCACGGGTACATACATGGTGTCCTGGTTTCTGTGTATCCCAGGCAGGTACAGAATTGCGGGAGGTCCTGAGGGATGTGAGGTGTGTGGAAGGAGGAATGGGCGTGCCGAATATCAGGGACGCCTAACCCTTCTGGAGAGTTCGGCCCAAGTGTGGCGACGGCTTCGACACCCGTGTGCTATCTTGAAACGACCGTGTTGGCCCCTATTGGTGCTTGTTTTATTTAGTACATTGTGGCAAAGGCTCTGCCTGAGCCTCTCTGCAGTGCCCGGGAGGCCTGGGACTAGAGTAACTATTTTGTTGCTTCCCCTGTTTGCTCCTTGGGCATCTGGGGGCAGCCTTGCATTGGTAGAGCAGTTTCTGAGCATTTCCTCATCCTGAGGTATTCTGCTGACATCCGGCCATACGATTGCATTTGACGTTCCAAGCTTTACCTCAGTCCATCGGCAGTGGCATTCGCTGGCTTTTACTGTGCCCTGTCAGGTTTTCCATGGGTTGACTCAGGCCGGGTATAGCGTACGTGAACAAGTTCCTGCTTTAGCATTTTGGCTTTCCTGTGTCCAGCCCTTCCAGGAGAGGGGAAATCTCCACGGAAGAAGCCATCATTCCTGAACTGCCTTGACTCTGAAATGACAGTGCCCTCAGTGGCGGAGATGGTGTCCTTTTGCCTTTAACCTTTGCCCTCTATGAGAGTCTGGTCTGGGGAAAATCAGGATGTCACTGTCCACAGGAACGGGCACGAAAGCCTCACAAAAGGTTCCGGGGCCTGGCCTGGGGCCGAGGCCAGCGACGCCGTGCTGTCCGCCCCTCCCCGTGGGAGCTTCCAGTCAGTGCTCCCGCCACCCGGGTTCCTTCCCTGGTACCGTGTCTCCCGGAAGCCTGGAGCCAGGTGCCTTCCTCCTGAAAAAAATAAAAGCCTTGGACACCCACTGAGTAGAAGCATTCTTTTTGGCTGATGAAAATGTTTGGGAATCAGAGTGATGGTGGTTGCAAAGCTTTGTGAATACACTAAAAAAGCCACTGACTGTATACATTGAAAGGGTGAATTTTGGGCTATGTGAATTATATCTCCATTTTAAATGAAGTCATGGGATACTAACTTCTTGTGCCCCCCCCCCAAAAAAAATTTCCTGTAGCACAAAAAAACTCCCAGAAGACCACGTAGGCTTTCTCCTCCAGTGCGTCCCCTCTCTGTGCATGTTCAAAGCTCAGGCCGTGCGGGGGGTGTGTCGGGAGTGGCGGGGAGCTGACGGAAGTTCATCCGTCTTAGTCCCTGTTCTGTGTCAGGCCGGGGACCTTGGTCTGGGTGTTTACTTGTCGTGTTTCCACAGTTAAAACAGAGGTAATGAACCTGGCCTACTTGATGTGGACCTCCTGGGAAATAAAAATCTGGTGTGCTAAGCGCTTTAGAGCTATGAGGGGCTAGATTTCTCCTGACCGGGGCGCGGAAGGGTTGCAAAGGCGCCCACGTGCGTGGAGTAAGTCCCAGCTGTGGGCGGGAGGCTGGACTGCCTTGCGCTGGGCGCTTGAGACATGCCACTGGGTGCTCTGTTGGGAACTGGTACTGCTGGTGACTTTTAGGGCGATAGTGAAAAGGGGGTGGAGTTTGGTTTCTATGGCAATGATAGGAAAGAGACTTAGGGGAGGAGGGCGTGTTTCTCCGGCGGAATCACGCAATACTTTGGTTGAAGGCGTGATGAGGTTCGGAGGGTGAGGGCTGCTGCGGCCGAGTGTGGCTTGGCTGCCACCGGCCCAAGCAGGCGCCTTGGAGGCACGTCCGAGGGTTTCTCTTCGCTGGGAAACCCAGGAAGCGCCCCCAGGAGAAAGGTGAGTCGGGAGGCCGGGGCCACTGCCTCATGGCACAAATGGGGCTGTGCCCGCGGAAAACCAGGACACTGGGCGCGGGGAACCTTCCATCCTCACACCCTCCACCCACGGCGCTTCCTGGATTTCTGTGAAGGTCACTTCCCAGGGTGACCAGCTCACCAGCCCCATGCCCGTGGAGAGCCCTCTACATGATTAGGGAGAAGGGGCCAAGCCTTTGCTGCCTGCTGGTCCTCGCTGGCCCCCTCCAGTTTACTGTTTGCCCTGGGCTGGAGTATGAGATAGGAGGTCCTATCAGGGCCTTTCAGGCACAGGCTAATGACCTGTGACTCATACAGGTTCTTGTCACCGACCTACTCTGAGAGGACCAGCCAAATTCTTCTCCCTCCTCCTCGTTCTCTTACCAGTGTCTGATTGTCCTCTCCCCACTTACCTACCTGCTAAAAGGGAGATCCCCCCTTCCAGGCCCGATGCCCGTATCGTTGTCTTCTGAGAAGAAGGCTGCTCTCCTCCCGTCTTCTCCCCTCTACCCCAGCAAGATTAGTCTTCTCTCCTTCTGTGGTCCCACCAAACTTCGTCACACACGTGGTGGAGCCCTTACCACGTTCATTCACGGGGGCTTACTTTAGAGAGCTTGTCAAGCGTCTTCTGGAGATTAGTATCTTAGTGCCTAGAACAGGGTCTGGTGCATAATACATGCCCAGTGTATGTTAAATAAATGAATAAATGTAGAAGGAAATAAATAAAGCAGAACATCATTTGTGCCCTTGCACCAATAATGAAAAATATGTATAAACTCCATAAATATTTAAAATTGCTTTCCTCTTTGTGGTTGTGGTACTTGATGAGAATACTCTTCTAAATGTGCCTTATTAAATCTTTTTTATGTCTATGGCATTATTGTTTTTTTTTTTGGTCAAAGTTGATAAATTTTGGGAGAAGCTGTGCCTTACAAACATGAAGTTTTATAAAGCAAAACTTTGCCAAAGTGTGTCCAGCAGAATGTTAGTTTCCTCACTGGTCAGAGCTGTTAAGGAAAAAAATGGTTTGGGGGGGCAAATGAAGTTCAGGGGAGGCTGGGTGAGGGTCTCTGCACTGGGGAACACCTCAAAGCTTTGATACAGTGTTGCTTAGGACGACTTGCAGGTGGGTCCCGTGACTGTTCTTCAGCAGTGCGGGGGGACGGGGCTTACGGTGTGCAGTGCACCATTGGAATGTTGTTACTGATTTAATGGGGACAGTCCAGTGCCTCCCCCTAAAGCGTAGAGAGCGGGCGGACGCTTGTGTCTGTGGGAAGGACCCGGTTCCTCACCACCTTCCACATGTACACCACCCCTGCTCTGCAAGAGGGAAGAGAAAAATTAAAGGGAATTAAAACATTATTCTACCTGCCACAGCAAGTATCAGACGTCTCCAGTGGACTATGCAGAAAATGATTGTGGTTTTAGAAATAATCTGGCAGCCCAGTTGCTCTGCAGTAAACTCCCAGGATGGCTCTATAAGTGCCCGTTCTCTGCCTAGCAATTACCAGCGCTCTCCTTGGTACATTCGCAGGTGCCTAGGAGTAACTTCTAGGGAACTCACACTTTCAAATCTACAAGAGGAAAGCAGCCTTGTATTTACCTGGGAAGCGGGGTGGGGACCAGGGTATTCAAACTGTGCTGGGTAAAGGATGCTATTGATTATAGAAATACGGAGAAGAACTTGAATTTTTTTACCTGGTATTTTTCTCAATGGGTGAGAGGCTGGATCGCTAGATTATGGTCCAAAGACCTACAGGGAATAATTCTCTTCTTCTCAGGGCCTCTTTCCTTTTTGAGATTTGGAGAGCAGCACAAAGTCAGACCTAACTGTAGCTGAAACCCTGTGTTGCCTTCCGCGGACACGGGCAAGTGGGCACCAGCGTCCAGGAAGAAGGTGACTGAAACGACTCCACCTGGTGCGTTGGCGTTCTGACCTGTGCCTTTGGTGTCTGTCCTCTAGAAATCTCAGGGAACACGGAGGACATCCCTCTGGTGCGCTGGAGGCAGCAGTGGCTGGAGAACGGCACTTTGCTCTTTCATATCCATCACCAAGACGGCGCCCCGAGCCTCCCTGGACAAGACCCGACCGAAGAGCCCCAGCACGAGTCAGCGGAAGAGGAGCTGAGGATCCTGCACATCTCGGTCATGGTAAGGGCAGCCTGGCCTCGGCCTCTACGTTACCTTGACATTGAGAGTCTTGTTGCCATGGACATAGCGCTGTAAGCCCCAGCGCCATAGTGGTCGTTGGTCATGTTAACGAGCAAATGTCCCATTTATGGGAAACACCTCCGCCTGTGGTGTCAGTAAGAGTTGCAGTTACTTCTGCAGCACCATTTCCCAACTCTGCCCTCTAGGAGCGCGCCTCGGCGTGAAGAAACTTTCACACACCATCAACAGTATTAGACGGGTCAGTGGACTGTCTTAGGAAGAAATCATTCCACTGGTATATCAGAATATCTTATAATAATTGTTCCATAACTGTTTACTCAGATGACTGAGTAGCCAGGCTGCTTATTGCTACCAAGTCCGCGTCTCTCGTCCCGTGCCTGGGACAGCGTCAGCTTCCTGACTCACTCTCCTCTTACAATAAAGGTCGTGTCAGTGGACACTCCTCCTTCCTCTAGCCCAGCACAGAAGCTTCACCGTCAGTGTCCCTGGCCCTGTCCAGACATTTTCTAAATGATGAGGAGATTCTAATTAGAAGATTCTTCCTAACATTGTAGTAACTGGCGTGTTAGAATCTCGCTAGAAAGGACGCGCAGTGGCAGGCATGGGTTTTGTTGGGGGGTGGTTTGTCCACTGATGCCTCCTGAGCACTCAGAACTGTGTGCTCACATACTTAGTGCTTAAGAAACATTTGTGGAGTAGATGAATGCATTTCCCAGTGGAGACAAAATCCCTGCTTCACATAATGCATTTTATGTATGAGTATTAGGTTGGCAAAGCCAATACGTTCTACTGCTCGGGTAGCCTGAGAGCCGGTTGAAGCTTGACTGATTAGCCCTGGGCCGCATGTGTGGAGGGCAGGACTATTCCACTGTTAGGAAGCTCAACTGAGAACCAGTCTAGGTCTCGGTCTAAACTTTAGTTCATCGATCACTCTGGTACCATCACTACATGCTATTTAGTTTCGTGTATCAGATCGGAGGAAACTGAGCACATTTTCGATGTATAAAAATGTCCCTTATCCAAATACTTGGCATAGAAAACGACCCTATAAAAACCTCGGATACACTCTCAGAATGTAATCCCTCCATTTCTCTCTCCACCCATGTCCCCGTGAGTAACTGGCCTGGCAGATTACCTGCATATACACAACCAACTGTATTCAAACTATATGGTCAAGAAAAGAGCTTTGAATAGCAAATGGTGAATCTCAGTGTCCAGATACACTGGAAGGTAGACAGGTCAGTGCAGTCGCCGTGCCCCTTATTTACCAACCAGCTGAAGTTTATAACATGGGAGTCGCCGTCCTTGCACATCGCAGTCAAAGACCCCGTGTTGCTTGTCGCGGAGGAGTTGTCTTCCGTGTAGCCTGTAGTTTCCAGGCGGTGCCGCGACCAGGCCGACCGCCGAATCAGCCTCACACTGTCGGGGGCGACGGGTGTGGAGGCCACATGGTCTTCACATTAAAAATATGGTCGATTGAAAAGATGGGCACGGTGGGGGCCTTCCCACCAGCCACCCGGATCCTCCCATGTACGTGGGAAAGGTCATGGACGGTGTCACTTCGTTTTGTTTCTTTCCGCCCAAGACCACCTCAAAGAACCAGTCTTTGCCACGCCAAATACATGTTTAAGGTGGGGAAAAAAAGTGTCTAGAGAATCCCAGTGACTACCACCAGGTGCGATGTCTGTCTGAAAGAAAGACCCTGCATGAAGGGGCTAAGCCAGGCAGTGTGTCCGAAGGTGGGCTTCACGGGGGCCGGGGGTCGTGTGCAGGTCCTGGCAAGACTGTCTGAAGCTCGACCGGGTTGCCGCGCCCTGTCTTGAGCATGGCAGGGACCCACTGCCAGTCCCCACACTGCGGTATTCCGGTAGGTTCTCCAGAGAAGTGTGTGTGCTTGTGCGTGTGCGCACGCATACATTTGTCGGGGTGGGCGGCAGCGCAGATAGAAATACGCTAACCAAGGATGCCAGAGTACGTGAGGGAATAGATCGTGCCCTTGAAATGTAACAGCCCAGGTGACAAGTCTGCACAACAAATGCTGGTCTTGTTTTGAGACCACCCCCACCCCGGGCAAGGATTCATGGGTGGTGGCCACGTAAATGGAAAGAACGAAAGTGAGCCTCTGCCCTGTGCCTTAGAGCCTGCCTTCACGTGCTGCTGGTCACCCCTGGCAGGCCACCGGTGACATTCTGCTTCTCAAGTAAAATGGAAGATCTTACTCCTTCAGCTTTATTTACACTGTTACTTTCAATGAGGCTGGAGGGGGCCGAGGTTGAAATGGCATAGGCAAAGGACGAGAGGGGACAAGTCTTATGCTGGTCTCCGGCTTGACCTCTTGGATATGGGTAAGCCTACACCTGCATGAAAAATTCAGGAATTCCTTCGACTCCTGTGGGAGAACGGACGCGAGCAGCCCTCCCACCCAGCCTCCTCAACGAGGGCGCACGGTCAGTGGGGCCCTGCGGCCCAGCGTCCTGCCTTACCTCCCTCCACTCCCGCTGCACACCACACACGTGCCCCCACGGCACCTCGCCTCCGTCCTTCAGAGTCTAGTGTAGAGACAGTGTCAAAGCCTGGAGTTGTGTATCTGCCCGCAGCTTAGAAATCAAGCCTGAAGGGGGTCATGTTTGAAGATGTGGTTCTTGGAGTCTCCATAGCTGCTGCTTAAGAGACTCCGAGATGGATAGACTTTATCTCATATCCCTTCTATCACATCCGTCAGATGTAAATGAGACAACTATTTCAGGCACCCAGAATGACATTGTACGTGTAAGAAGACTGCAGAATCCTTTGACAAATATTGGTGTTGGGCAGCAAAATGCACATAAATGAAATCTTATAGCCCAAACCCTTTTAGTTATGAAATAACAATAGCAGGGCTCTTCTTCGTTAACTGTAGTGATCACTATTGATAGAGTTTTAGTTTGGACCCAATTAGCATAATTCGAGAAAGAAAAGTTAAGGTGATTATCAAAACATGAATCTACCCACCCTTTTCTCTCTTGTTAAGAGAATGTGTATTTTAGAGCTTAACTAATGGTCCTAGGTATTTCCAATATGTGCAGAGGAAATGAATGGTTCTGCGAAAACCTTAAAGTTTACATTTCTCGCATTTTGTATTTATATTTTCCTCGTCCATCTTGCCTCAATGCAGGGACACAGTGTATTTTTATATTTTGCATTTACCCTGTTTTGTTTTAAACACAAAATGTAAGTAATGAGAGAATGAGAAACAAAAGAAGAACCTCTTTTTGGTATCCTGATAACACTGTATGAATGAAAATCAGTAAGCTATTTCTTCCATGGTGCCCAGTGCGAATAGATCATCAGCAAGTCATGGGCTTGTAGAAAACCAATACCTCAGCTGAGAACCTGGCGATTTAAAACTTGGACAAACCTTATCCTTTTCTTATTTTTCAATCGCATCCTAAAATTTTTGAATAATTTTTTTCTGAAAAGGCATCCTTTCTTCCCGGTGTAGAATAATTGGATTTTCCTCCTGAAATCTTATATCATTGCTCTTCAGGTCAAACAATGTATTTTAACCTTCCGCGTGACCCAAACTTGGCTGAAGAGATTTATTTCAAATTTTGCAAGATAACTGGCATTTAAAACTACAAAAGTACACAAGCATAGCCTTTGCAAACTCATGAACAAGTGAAAGCAAAATCATCAAATGAAGATTGATGTCTGAGTCTAAACAAGCCAGGAATTCTTCAATAATAAGCAAATTGTTTATTCCTGGAAGATCAAGTTTTAATATGGCTCTACATCAGCTGTTTAGACTCTGTGTGGGTTTACATTTCCTATTTTACTTTTGTTAATTTACCGTACGATCTACATTTTTCTTCTTAAAGTACGTTACAAAATTTAGCGATGTCTAATAGAATTTTAATGATTATATACATATATTTCATCTTTGTAATTAAAGGTGGCGATGTTAATAGACTTCCTCTATGCATCCACGTTGGTTAAGTGCATTTTTCATAGCAAATAGCCTTTCAAAAATACTTTGGTTTGATATATACTTTGTAGTGATAATTCCAACTGGTAGGTAATATCTTTTATAGTCTAGCCTTCTCAGGCACAAGTCATAATTGTGGGGGGAAAAAATCATCTTTGAGCATTTATCTGCCCCCCCCCCGCCGTGAAGACTTGCATAAACCCACCAGTCGAGCGTGGGTGCCTCTTAGGCCATCTAGCCACCCTGTGTGGAGCCTGTTGGCCAGTGTCTGCAGGCTCCTGTGGCCTTGAGTGCTGGCTCCTCAGGTGTCCCCAGGCTCCCTGTTTCTGGGAGCCCCAGGTGAGTCCAAGACAGGGTTTTCTTTAGGGAGAAAAATAGAACAAGAGTCAGGGACCAGAGAGACCACAGGTGCTGTTGTAGAGTCCCAGAGGGCAGGGACAGAGAGGATCCTCTGGGGCAGTTAGTGCCACTGGGGGCTCAGTCGAGCACAAAGCCCTCAGCATACTTATGGGGGCCACCAGGATCGTGATTCCAAGGCTGGAAAGTACTTTGTGCCAAAGCAGCTACCCCTGCCCTCCCTGTTCCGCTCGAGTTTGATCTACCTCGCTGAGCATCGCGTGTCACTTTGCTTGAAGCTCCAGGGCAGAAAAGTGCAGTTCTAAGCGTGGTCATCACTGTGAGCCACCAAGACCGTCGCGTACTTATTCGGTGGCTGTGGGTCCAGGAGGGAGGGCGAGATGCCCTTTCTGTCAGCAGCTTTTGCTTTCCGAAAATCTGTTACAAATACGATTAATCAGGGTCCCCTTTACATCTTTATTGTCAGTCAATACTGTTTGTGTAGATCTGACCGAGGATGCTTTAATTTCTCAGGGCCAGTCTTTCTGACCTTTAAAAATTAAATGGAGACGTTAAACATGTCATGCGTTGCCATGAAGGGCAAAAGTAGAGTCATAAATTGGAAGGCATGAAAAGACAGGTCCTGATTCAGTGCGAGGGACTTTCCTAGCAGGCCCAG